AAAAAATAATATTTTTGTACATACTATATATTTAAGCATTGTTGCTTATTTACTTTGTTTAATCATTACTTTCGAAAATTAATTTATATAAATGTTAGTAGCTATGAATAAAAGGAACGAAATAAATTATTGTTTATAATATTTTTAAAATATCAAAATTAGGGGATATTGAAAATTTAGGATTTCTGTGGAATTCTCATTAATTAAAATACCAAGTTTCTCTAAAAATATTTTGACAGGAATGTGTGATTATTTATTTTTTCTCTTTAATTATGCACTAGCACCTGTCAGGTAATGTGTTGTGATAAAATAAGTTGATAATATAAATTGAAATTATTGGCATGAGGTAGGATAGTACCCAGCAGCACCTCTTCCTGGTCATCCTTGATTTAGAGGAGGAAATCTCTCATCCAGCTGCTTCTAAGTCTGTTTGTGTGTCAATGTAGTTTGAGATGAAAACCAGAATAGAGAGTACGTATGTGTTGGTCTATAGTTGGTTGTCGTAAGTCATTATGTAATGTTTTATTGCTGACGTACAAGTCGTAAAAATTTGGATTGAAATGACTGTAGTTTTTGTAAGTGCGTCTTTTTTGCCGAACCTTAAATCTGAGAAGCGTATGTCCAGATGGGCTTGAGTATGTATTTAGTTTTTGTCAAACTTTCAATTTCGATTTAGAAAATAGTACAGTATTTTCAGTCGCTTGTTTAAAGTTGATCGTTTCATTTTGACCTGTGGACTACAGGTCATCCTTTTGACGAATATTATTCCAAGGTAACGTACTGTGTTTGTCTGAGGAATTTGGTTCTCTCCTATATAAACTGGTATTAATGATTATTTATAAAATTGAATTTTATAAGAATAATAATAATTATATATTTTACCGATGACAAGGATCATTTAGGTATTTCAATAAGGTAAACTTTTTACTGGTTTGGAAACGTATTTTCAAAACAAGGACCATTGTTAAAATGAACAAATACATTGACCTTACCATATCTAACCAGTGATAATCATGAACATTATTCCTTTTTTAACACAACATGTTCCATTCCAAATGATGATCCATTTAAAAGATAATTGTGGGTTAGTGGTTGGCTGTAGTGAATTATTGAAGAGAAATTGGGGTGATCAGTCGAAATAAAAATAGCAAAAATAAATAATAATATTTATTTTTATATTTGCCTACGTTTCGGCTCCAAATTCAGGCCTTTGTCAGGGATAAGAAAATAACCAGATAACAATAGGTATGAGTAAATATAAACATTGAATAATAAAGAATTAAAATTAAATAAGGTTATAGACTAAAAAATGTAGGTGAAAAAACTTAAAATAAAAGGTAAAATAAAGTAGGAATAATAACAGTAACAGAGAACTAAGTACGGACTAATGAAATAAACATAATCAAAATAAGTTAACATAAGAAATGAAAAATGGTAATCTTAGAATAAAATGTAAAACAGAGAAAAGAAATATGAAATTATATGAAGAAAAAATAGACATAAATACAAAATTAATATATTGTAAAATCTATTAAAAATACTGACTACTTTGTCATTCATATTTTTTACATTATTTTAACTTTTTATTCTCTTATACGTAGTCAGTATTTTTGATAGATTTTACAATATCTTAATTTTATATGTATATCTATTATTTCCTTATATAACTTCATATTCCTTTTCTCTGTTTTATATGTTATTCTAAGATTATCATTTTTCATTTCTTATGTTACCTAACTTGGATTATGATTATTTCATTGATCCATGCTTTGTTTCTGTTATTATTATTTATTTCTTAGTTCTCTGTAACTGTTATTATTCTACCTACTTTATTTTACATTAATGTTCACTCTATCTACTTCCTTTTATTTTAAGTTTTTACTACCTACATTTTTTAGTCTATACCTTTTACCGTTTTTTATTTTAATTCTTTATTATTTAATGTTTATATTTTCTCATACATATTGTTATCTTGTTCTTTTCGTACCCCTGATGTTGTTGATGATCTTGTTCTTTTCGTACTCGTTGGCAAATCTAAAAATAAATATTATTATTTATTTTTGCTATTTTTATTTTGACTGATCCCCCCAACCATCTTTCTCTTTAATTATATAAAAGATAGGACGAAAAATATTTTCTTTTTTCTCATAAATAATTCTTAGCTCTCTCCTTTGTGTCATGAATGAATATTTTACAAAATTAGTAATACAGTTTGGTTACTGGGATAGAGAGTTAAATAATTTTTTGTGAACTATATTTTTTTATACAGAATTATAATTTATAGATTCGAGCCATTGTCATAAGGAAAAAAAAATCAATGAATGAATTGACCAAGGTCTTGTAAACATGGGGTTGATGGTGATTTGTTATATTCTCTAAAAGCATTTTGACTGCTGATTATAAATTACCACTTAATTTAAAAATAATGTTCATATATTTCGGAAGTTGTATATATGTAACTTTTTATTTTGAAATTATTACATTTTTAAAAAATTCGAAATCATGATTTAGAGATCTCTGACTTATTCTTTAAAAATAAATCAAATAATAACAACGTATAAATAATTTGGCTTGATCCATTTAACTGTATAAACAATTCATTGGAAAAAACAACGTATGTTTGTGCACTATTATGTTTTCAAAGAGTGATAAGTACTTTAAAAAAAAACAATCAAAATTAGATCAAAAAATAAAATAAAATATATCTATGAATTTCTCATTAATTCAGATATCGAGTTTCTCTAAAAATATTCTGATAGGAAATAATGATTAATTACTAAATTTATATTTATGTACTTTTTAAAATATCAGGTGTTAGGAACAATGAATGATAAAAACGAAATATTAATAATGATTTTTTTAATAATTCAAATTATAATTTTAACATTTTGAAGTAATGATTTAAAATAAATAAATAAAAATAACCGGTAAATAATAATAATAATAATACAGTCAGGTTCATTTAACATTACAAGCAATTCATTGAGGGGAAAAAAACAATATATTTTCGTATGCTATTTATTACATATGTATCTATTTTTTGGTAATACTTGATACTAAATTACTGGATTCACATGTATGTAACCATGAATTAAGGAACCAAAAGAAAACAAATGGTTTATAATATTTTCTAAAAAAAAAAAAAAATGATTTATCATCAAATAAAATATCTAGGTTCCCTTAAAATATTCTGATAGACAAGAATGATTTGTTAATAAATTGATATTTAAGCATGTTTTTGAAATTAGTGCACGTCAGTAACTACGAATGATAAAAACGAAATTATTTGTGTTAATGTTTAAGAAATAAATAAAATTAACGATTTCATAATTATGGATGCATGTTTATCGTCCGGAAAAATAAAAATTAACTATAAACCCTTTTATATATTTAAATTTATTAAAGCTTACATTAAAATAGATTTCAAAATGTAAAAAAAAAAAAATTAAAATATTTCTGTACATCTTATAATTGATATTCATGCACTTCATGGATCTTTTTTTTTTTTTTTACATAGTTATCGGCACTTAACACTGTATGCTATATCACATTGTAACAAAAAAAAAATCACTGAACTGTTTCATGTAATATGTTTGACATTTTTGCGATTTTAGTTAGAAAATAGGGTACGATAAAAATGCTGGAATCAATATATCCAAGGCGATACGTACTTATAATGAGAGAAATATAGAGGTTGCGGGCGGTGGGCGCTGTAGTGAGTGAATCCGGTAGACATGTGCTCGACCCCCACTCCCCGCCTCTGCTCCGCTGGGTTCGTTCCTATCAAACCGCCTTCAGCTCTGTTCTAGCACCAGTCCGCCTCTATCTTCCTCCTCTTTTATCCACAATTATTAGGTAGGAACACAATTATTTATCTTTCTTTGTTTACTTATTAAAGCCATCCATTCGTTATGTGTAAATGTGCTTCTGGATTTTTTTTTCTATATTCGAATCGAGTGATCTTGGCCTGTGTGAATCCTCTGTCGCCAGCTCCTGTTTATGGTAGGCTGTGTAATTTTCTTTTTCTTTTCTATCATTGATTATACTTTCTTACATATTTTTAATATTCATTTTAAATAATTTGGATCAATTAATTAATCTACTATTTAATTTAACAAACACGCCCACCGATGTACTTTTTATGTATACGATCAATTGCTCATGATCTTTAATTTATTAAAATAGTTTCAAAGATAATTACATCTTATCGAGTTTTTTTCTAATCAAATCTTGTGTTAATTTAATATTAAAATTTATTAATTTATTACGATGTTATCAGTTGAATATTTATTTGTATCAAGTGTGTTTTCGATAAAGCTATACGTATCACTGAAACTACACGTGCCGACCTTGAGCACTTGAGTGTAACTGGAGCTCAGATAATTTTTCTCATTCAAAACCACTTTTTTATTTTAAAATTCACTCTATTGTAATTTTTGTTTCAAAGCTTTGTATAATTGTTTTGATAATTCGTTTATTCTCACTTATATGTTATACTACACTAATGTTTCGAAACTCTGCCAACAACAGTTGAATTTTTTTTTTTATTTCCAAATCCACCTAACCGTTATTTTGTTTATAGTTATAATTAAATTTCAATCTCTTAAATACACATAATAAACGTTTCGATTATTTTCTATAATGTTTTAAGTTTTATGTAGGTCTTACGAGTAGTATTGTAGTAGTACAGTTTAGGTCCGATAGATTGTAGCCGAAGCGAGACGATCGTACGTAGTTTCCCACTCGGCCGCGAGATGGCGCAGGCTTGACCTATTTTTCTCTCTGACACATCATTAGTGTGTCCCAGTTTTGTCACATTTCACAAACCTACTTCCACATCGATGTCAAATACCGGTGGTGAATTTGTTTGCGTTAGGTAGGGTGGACCTTTCTTGAAATCTCTCATTTTTAGATTATATCATTTTTCATAATTTATCGATATATTGTTACTTCGTGTCGTTGTGAATTGTCATCTTGGTTTATATTAATCATAGGTCATTCGTAAAAAATACTTTACGTTTTGTGATATTTTTGACGAGTAAAATCACATTCTCTTAATTCATATTTGTGTGCGTTTTTTTTATTGTTGTTTACTAAAACGGTATGATTAGGAGTAGTTAAACGTTTGTATTCTAAAGGCTTAAAGGCTGCAATGTGTATATTAGAATCTGTACTCGGTGTTATTTCTTTTAATATTGATATTTTTATTGTGTGTATTCTTAAGATTAATTTTCGATAAATATACATATAATTTTTTTTCATCGTTCATTATTTAATAAATCTATTATCGAAGATAGTAATTGTGTATTTGTAGGTCTAGCGGAGGAAGGGGAGTAGGGCGTTGACCCGCCCTGTCCTTGTGCACGTGGTAGGAATGCGGTGGGTACCCCTCCGTGGTGGGGGGATGCACGTGTGGGGGTGTGACGTCATGGCCAATCGGGTGGTGGAGGGGAGCGATGGGCCAATGGGAGAAGAGGAAGCTAGAAGCGGCGGCGCAGACACCTCCCCCCTCCGAAGTCCACTACAGCTCCTCCATTTAGTCTGCAAACGTCTCAGGGTACACATGGCTTCTTCCCTCGCCCTTCCCTGATCAATAGTTGGCTCTTCAGTAGTGTGCCCCTCAAGTGATCGTGTGTGCGCGGTTCTCTTAAGTGATGTGTCGAGTGCTCTAGTGGTGGAAGACAACCATTGCCTTGGAGGATACCTATGTCGGTGTATGGTTTAATCGGAGAGAGAATTGGGCTTGGCTTTGATTATTTTAGTCAGTCTTTTTCTCTCTCCTATAGGCCAACCGAATTTGCGTCGCCATTTTACTGCGCCATGCCTTCATCACTCATCTTTCGCCATTTCCTACTTCCATTGTATTCCTTGGAAAGTTCTTCCCTTCTCTTCTCTCATCATTACTCTGATTGTGAAATCCTCTCTGTCCTACTTTCCCTCTGTTCGCATTCAATTCGCCATTTTGTTATTTCATCCTGATGTATATTCTTCTTTCACAATATTTCATATTTTAATTTCCTTATTCATATTATCCTCAACTTACATCAGTTATGTTACTTTTAGTTTGCTAGCCCGCTGACAGTTTCTTGGCCCAATTCTTTTCTTTTTTTGTTTGCATCCGCATGTTTTTCGTTAACACGCTCGGTGTGAAATTTTTACATTCGGTTTAATAACTATTTATTTTCCATCAATAAGTTTCTTATTCTTGTAAGGGCAGAGGACTGTTAACTGGTTTATAACTTATATTATATATTAGTTTTGTAGTTGTTAGGTTTTTTTTATTTCTTAGCTTTAAGATTTGTTATTTTTGTTATCATTGTTCACTATCAATTGACTATTTTACTGTGTATTGATAACGCATGCCAATCACGGGTCACTCATGTATTTATTATGTATTAAATATGTCATCTGTATTTACCATGTTCATTTATGTAATACATCTGAAATTTTTTAGTACATTTTCTGTAATTTACCATCCCATTTATCATTTTCAGGTATTTCATCTAGCATTACATCATCTTATGTTGTGTAATTACGCTCATAAAAAAATTGAATTGTTTATGTGAAGTTCATACAGTATTTATAAATTTTTATTAATTATAATCCATTAAATTTTCTGATCATTTAACGTTGGTAATTCTAATTATTTTACTTTCTGTATTACTAATTATTTCAATTCACTCCTTTTTTAATGAAAATTAATTTAGAACAAGAATAATTCTGAGGTGGTGTTAAAAGAAGGTTCTGTTTGGATAAAAGGTAATTGGTACGCGAAAATCATTATTTTACTACTAGGTTATATTTGTTTTAGGCTTTAACTAAAGTGCTAAGTTCTGTTTTTCGGAATCTTAATGTATTTTTAAACTTAAACTTTATAGTTTAATGAATGTTCGTTTTTAGTAAAAATTTGGTTTGAATTTTTGTCATGTTCTGCGTACGTTAGACCTCACTAAAAAAAGTTACTTATTTCATATCCATTCATTAGTTAATAAATTATCAGAATCTTATATTTCATATTTTATTAAGTTCACATTTAAAATAATTGTATTCAATTAAGCACTGTCTGTAATTTTAATATGATCTGAGCTATTATTATGATTAAGTTCCTATATTTGTTTTTTGCTGTTGTATAGGGATTAAAAATATTAAATATAAGTTAAATCAAAATACATTTTCTGCTTAAAGTGATATATTTGCCTTTGCAGTCGTATTACTGGGCCTAGCACCTATTAATTTGAACTTAAGTTTATTCTACTTATTTTTTTTGCAAGAATGTTTGTCTTGAATGTTCAGCTTACCTCTAAACCCAAATTTAGTTAGCAAGCAGTAGTATACGTTCAAATGAGTATATATTAAGTAAATCCATTTGAAATAATTTATGTACATATATCATTATATAATTCAATTTTTTTTTCTGTTGTAACTTGCAAAATGATCATGCCCTTAAAGCGATGATCATACGAAGGAGACTTAAACCGAACCCGGAACACCCTCTTTACACTCATTCTCGTAATCTACACCAACTACGCCTCAATTTTGTTTGTTAGCTCATGATATCTAATTGGGTCATACGTTAGTTTATCATGGTCTGAAAAAAAATAAAGAATATTTGCACTGTTTTATCATTTGATTAGATAGCTAATCTCCACCTAACCTTATTTGTTAGAAATTATAATTCATATAACTTTTGTATAAACATAAAATATTTTAAATTTAATAAATAATAAACTTGGGTTTATTTGTTTTAAGTGATATTGTTAACTTATGTTTCTGCTTAAGTATTTCTGTTTACAAAATAACTGAAGAAAATATTTTCAGAAATACATAATCCTATTTAGTAATCCTGAGTGATGCATTTATTTTTTAACTAGACTTAAATTTGTATATGTACAGGACTGTGTAGCATTAGTAATGATAATGGTAACAAGCGGAATTTATAGTTTTATACACATTTTCTTTTAGGTTTATATTCTAGGTCAAGAGATTTACTTGTTTATGTGCTTTTTAAAGGCACGCTTGACTTAACGGCTATTGAGCATTATCACACCGTATTATAAATAATTAAATATTAATTATTTAGTATTAAACTTCAACAGTTAAACCTCGAAGAGCTAATATTAGTGAAGGCTAGATATAACTCTGGTCAATTAAATAATTTTTTAATGATGTAGAGATGATTGACCGTTAATATAATATGAGAAGGAGTTAGTCGAGGGTGCGGTCAAATAAATAAAAAAATTAAAATATATAAATTATTTTAATTTTTGCCAAAATTAAAAAGAAATTGAGGCAAAAATTAAAATAATTTATATATTTTAATTTATTTATTTATTTGACCGCACCCTCGACTAACTCCTAATTAATAGAAAACTAATTGGAATCTTGTTTTATTTTTTACATTGCGTTTTCACCTTAAAGGTCTCTTTTATTTATAATTTTGGTTGAATGGACCGTTCCCGACAAGTAAGATATATTCTAAATTGAGTTACAACCCAAAATCTTTCTCCAGTTATTATTAAAGGGGAAAAAATTAAACGAATTAACAATGCCTAATTACAACTATCAAACCAATAGTTATATCGATTCATCAAATACGATTTTTTTTATTAATATATGAGCCTTTTAGTTGACAGAATGACAAACTCCAATTTCAACTTTTTTGATTATTAATTGTAATGATATTTTTAGTGGGAAAATTTATATATTTATTCACAGTACTATATTTCAACACCATAATCATCTACTTTGGAATTAACTTACTATCTGGACAGATATGAATTTTCCATCTTGAAATATCACTAAAATGCCTCTCAAAAATGTTGAAATTGGAGTTAGTCATTCTTTAAACTAAAACGCTCTGATAGTAGTAGTAAAAACAAATCGTATTGTTATAACAACTTATGTAACTGTTGGAAAATTTCAAATCTAAGCCTTTTTTAAATATATTAACTATACATAAATTGAGTATGTATAAAGAACTGAAGAGAATTGATGTCTAAGGAATTACAGGATGCATTGTAATCTTAAATTTCTTTTTACTTCAAATAAAAAAAGTACTTGCATCTATGACGTCAACCGTTGCATGTTTTTATAGTTTTTTTTATTAATCTTCCTTTTTCCGGATTATTGTTATTTAATGTCATTAAAAAAATAAATATTCAATTATTTTATGTATCTTTAAGCGTTTTACTTATTATCTTAGAACCGCGTTGGTACAACACTTAGGTTAGTACAATGGGCAGTAAACTATTTTTCTACTTTCTAACTCGCAATACTGAAAAAATTTAGTTGCATAAGTTCTTAATTTAAAGTCCATAGGGCGCATTGTATATTTTAAAAAATAAAAAAAAACGATATCGGATTAAATTTAAAAACCGAGAAAATGAAAGGGGAACATAACTCCAGGAATAATTCAAGGAAGTATTTACAGGATTAGGTCTTCTGTTTCTTGTTAACTTTAATCCTTCGAATAACGAACATTTCACTTCAAGATCCTTTCGATAAATAGTTTAATGATGTTATCAATTATGGTATAGTGCTGTAATATAGAATATGGCACAGACACATTCTGTGATTATTTTATTTTACTTATTAATATGAAAAAAAGAAATTCCAACTAATAGCGACGTTTATAACCTACAGGTTTTACGCCTAAACTCTATAATAACCAACCAACTCTGGAGTTCAATATTTTACCAAACATCGTCTACGAACATAAAAGAAATATACCCAAAAATCATTAAGAACTAGTTTGTTGAAATAAAATAATATGATTTCAGAATTAATTCGAAGTCAAACAGAGGCATGAAAGAGTTCATTGACCTTCATGCTAACTAAAATAGTTAACAAATTTCGTTAACTTATTTTCTCTTTTGTAATATTGAGAATGTATTTATTATGTTTATGATTTTGCGGTAAGATAAATAATTATAATTAATAATAATTAATAAATATTTATAAATGAAATGGAAACAAATTACTAATGATTAGTTTTTATTTTTTTATATATTGCCGCGAAGAGTTAGTGAAAATTTTATTCTTTTAATTTCGGCTTATTATGAAGTCTATTAGTAAATATTTAGAAGATACTTTCTTTTCAGAAGCCAAAAGCTTAACGTTGATACGGTGTATAAGCGTGCGGAAAATATTTACAAAACCCAGTTATTTTATTTACTGAACCAACTTAATTTGAAGGTACTGAGAAATAATTGCAAATTATTTTATTAAATAACAACATACAAGTTTATTCCTGTTTATAGATAGCTAGAACAGGTTAATCTTAAGTACGATTTAGGTTGATGACCTATATCAACAGTTCTCGAACGTTTTTGCCGCGGCATTCGTGTGTTACGAATTTTTCGCGATCTTTTGTTGAACTAAACAAAAAAATATATTATTGTCGGATAAAAAATATTATGGGTATCTTTTATTCTTAAGATGCTGATATGAATAAATATTTACCCGTTTATGTAATGTTTATAAATGACATAAAATCTTTAATTTGATTGATTTTCTCTATAATTATTTTATTAATATGTAACATTTCATTAATTTTTAGAATATTTATTCACAAATTGATAATTTGAACCTTAAATATTATATATTAGTAGTCCAAAAGTGCCCTTCAGATCCTGACCCCAGAACCGGCATTTCTACCCTACTTATATTGAAATCTCTTATTAATGTCGCTTCTCTTCTTATTGGGAACTCTTCTACATGATATTTTTCATCATGCTTTGTTAATATATTACATGCAACGTATATTATTGAAACTATACGAATTGAAGATTTATCAACAAAATAAAATTATTTGATCAGATAATTATTATTACCTTTTGTGGATACTCCTTTACTGTTAGTAGCTGTTGAAATTGGAGTTAGCAGCCATGTATATATATGTATAATTTTTTTTATTGGATAACGTCCTATTCACCAATTCTGGCTCACGGGGGAAGGAGGGGCTGTTCTAGAGGTACAACCAAATCTATTCTAACCGGAGTGGAAAGTGTCGAGTTTCATTCCGTGAGTTCGCCGCGAAATAAAACTCAACCACAGGCCGGATTTGAACCGGCATCGTTGAGGATGCTAGAAGACCAACACACTCTGCCACCACGACCTCAGGAGTTGGTCACTCTGTCAATTGAAAGGCTTATATAATTCTAAGCAAATCTAGTTCATGTAATTATTGTTTGTTTTTTGCGGTTTATAGGCGTAAAAACTCCAGGTCATCAACGCTTACCTAATGTAAATATTTGTTCCGTTTTCTTTGGGATTGTAAAATTCTTAAAGTATCTAGCCGAATTGCTATTTCGTCTTCGCATTTGATTGATGCCTATTTCTAGGAAATTTTTCGCAATTGATTACGAACTATTCAAATGATGATTTAGAGAACTGTTTTGTTATCGCTTTCATACCTAACATAAAAGTTAAAAAACAATCGCACTTTTTTTTTTTTAACTTTTTGTATTGGTTTGTTCTTAACTTCAATAATGCTTTATTTCTTATTTATATATAAATT